TTCTTTTCGTACGTCTCCGCTGGCTGACTAGTGTTGCCAGGGGTAAAAACTCATTTTCGATGCCACTTTTACTCAAATGTGCAGCCAAGCAAGAACGAATGAATTGTACCATTTGATATTCGTGCCATAAGCCGTCGGTTCTATGCTTGCAGAAATCGAGTTCTCCTTCCAGTGACGACTGCACATGTTGTACATAATTGTATAACATTGGCACAGCAACAATAGCGGTCAAAGTGGCAACTGTCGAAATTGCAATCCCAAAGAAGGCTGCACGGCGCAAACCGTCTGCCTCTTCTTTTTTGAGCTTCTCGTATTCGATTCCCATTGCCAGCTGCAAGATTTCCTCTATTTTTTAAAAATTAAAATTTGCCTGAATGCACTGAACTCGTCGCATCCACTGATCAAAGAATATTTTTGGGTTTTTGCAACGTGTGAAAGTTGGCCTTATCAAAGGAGTGAAACTGGGAAAAACAATGATTGTCGGCGCTAGTCTTCGGAAGCTATGGTTCTCTCGATCCAGAAAATACAAGACATATTCTAGTAACAGTTATTGCAAAAATAAGCTTCAGTCCTGTACAATCGCATCGGCGGGTGAGGATATGGAAGAAAGCAGTCGACAACTGGTATAACTTGGTACTGCTCCTGGTAATGATAGGAGAGGTAAAGCTTTTATAGTAACAATATAGCCTCCTCCCTCTTGTCTCTCTCTCTTCCCCTTTCTTCCACTGTTTGTAATTCTAAGCGAAAAATAAGGAACGAAAATCCTTTTTTTTTAATATATTTTGGCGGTGGCGGTAGAGATAGCGAGAAGAAATACATAAATTGGCTTTTCTTCTCGAAGCGATTGCGTGATGCAATGCAAGGTCAGAGCTGTTCCACTCCAGGGCACAAACATTTCGTAAAAACGAAAAAAAAATTACTGTTTCTGGTTTAAACTTTTCCTTTTTTCCCATTTCACTGTCACAAAATTTGCCTTTGTTGATCTGAATTGCGCCGCTCCACGGACAGCAAGCTAGCACGGCACAAAAACTCGCTTTATAATAGTGAGACCAACCATCTTCCCCCACTTTGGAATCCTTTTCTAGCGCATCTCCAGTCCGTAATCATCAAACCGCCTCGGAAGAGAAATTCGACCACAATAGATACATCCGATTTTGGTGTGTTTTTTACGCCACTCATGTGAATATATTGCGACAGCACTGCACT